CTCAGGCCGCAGGGCAGCGGCACCTGCGGGTCCCCAGGGAGTGTCCGGCGCGGAGGGAGCCGGGGAAAGTTTCCGCTTCTACGCAAAGGAAGTGAGTCAGGGGTGTGTCCAGGGCGGGACTTGGGCTGGACGGAGGCGCCAGGCGGGGAGGCCGGGCTGGCTCGTCCTGGTCCCCTGACCAGTGGGTCGCACTCCCCTTAGCCCTGCGGGCCCTGGGCATGGCCTCCACCGGGACCCCAGGGGCACTTGCACCTCCATCTGCCTCCAGACACCAAGCACCCAGGACATCTCTGGCCCCCCGACCCTCACAGGCGCCCAGTGGGGGAGGGGAGCCCACATCCCTCCCTGTTCTCCCCCCCAGCCCTTCCTTCCCCTTCCCTGACCCCAATTGGCCCCCAGAGCAGGGCTCATTTCCTGTCCCCCCTCCCTCCCTGCTCAGGTCACTGTCCTCTCGGCCTCCCAGGTGCTGACCTGCTCAGCGGGCTGCTCCCTGCAGGAACCGCGGTCCCCCCTCCACCTGGGGGCCCCCAGTGCCATCCACCCAGATGGATGGGGCCTCCCATTCCTTCCTCTGGGCTGGAGGAGCCCAGCTTCATGGACCCACCTGTCCATCTTGACCTTGAGCCTCAGGGCACCCAGGGGTCCAGTCTGATCCCCGACTCCTCCCTTAGCTGGGCTCACCTCCCCGATTCCCCGAGGTGGAAGCAGCCCCCACAGAGCTGCCTCCCCGAGCTGCCCGCGCCCACAGGGCCTGCCTGCGCCTGGCCCCACCCCCTCCAGCCACTTCTCCCACTGGGTCCTCCCATCAGTGTACAAACACGTATTTCTTTTAATATTTTTTTCATTGCAGAGGAAGGAAAAGGGAGAGAGAAACATCAGTGATAACAGTCATGGATGGGCTGCCTCCTACACCCCCCACTGAGGATCCAGCCCGCAACCCAGGCCGGTGCCCTGACCAGGAATGGAGCCCTGACCTCCTGGTTCATAGGCTGATGCTCAACCTCTGAGCCACGCCAGCCGGCTAAACATGTATGTCTTCCATCTTAAAAATCCACACACAAGCAAGCCCCGGACCTGCCCCACTGTGTCTTTGCTGTCCATGGCCCCTCCCAGGTGGCCCGTCCCTCTCCCTGCAGAGCTGCACCCGTCAAGGTCACTGACTTCCGTGGAGCAGGACCCTCACGTGTCACTGAGGGGGGGGGCAGTGTCTCATCTGGTGGCCTCCAGCCACGCCCTGACCTTCCCGGCGACACGGCCCACAGAGACGGACAAGGTCGGACCCGGTGCTACCGCGACCTCCACCCCTCAGCACAGAAACCCGCACCCACTTTTACCAAAACGCTTTTATTTACACGAGTCACCGCGGACGACGCGGACCCTCACCTGCTGAGTGCGCCTGCGCAAGGAGCACACCTCTCCCAGGGTAAACGGAGGCAGCAGGTGGAGCCTGGGTAGGGGCACCCTCTGCCTGGGGTCCCAGTACAGTGGACTGTCCACTGTTAAACACGCAGGAGTCCTCAGAGGGCCAGGCTGACCAGCAACGCTGCTAACCTGTGCCCATGCCGGCTGCCCGGCCCCATGGCGAGCAGGGGGTTCCCCCCACTGCGCCCGCAGGCCCCACAGTGCACACCCGTGCGAGGCAGAGCTCACAGTCCGAACGGTCCGTGCCCACGCACACGACTGTCGGGTCAGGGTGGGCTGAGGCGTGGAGGAGGCACCTGTCCAGGGGACCACCCTGGGCATCAGCTTAGTCACCACCTGCCCACGAGCACCGCTCTGCCTCCGGGAGACACGGGTCCCAATGATCTCAGGCCAGGGCCTC